ACCCAATTCAATTTTTGCAATCAAACGGACCCTAACATCCATGTGTATTAAAATAAATACATTTTCAAAAGAAAAAAGGAAAGGAAAAAAGGGATAACTATATCATATTGCAAAGTCGGATTTTCTTAATCAACAAATATTAAGGAGGGGGTCATCAACTAAGTCTAATGAATTTATTAACATTTATGGATTCTCATGAATTTTATGGAATTGAATAAAATTCCATAGAATTCGTAAGGTTTTAATAGAATTCCATTCTATAGATTTTAATGGTTTCAATGAATTTCAGTTGATTTTTACGATTACGACAAGATGATATACTCCTTCCGTCCCATTTATATAGATTGGTTTTATTTTTTCATACGAATTAAGCAATCATATTTAATATTATTGAAAAATTAATTTTTACCAAAAAAAATTCTAATTTATTCTTATATAATTATCAACAATTAGTAGTAAATTACTGTTGGTAGTAAAAAAATAAGGGTATATTAGTAAACGAAAGAAACAAAACATTCTCAATAAAGAAAAATAAAGAAAGTTAGCATATATGAATGGGATGGAGGAAGTAACTTCTTAATAGATCAACGGCGAAAAAAAAAAAGAAAAATTATAACTTTATAATTAGAAATAAAATTCGCCATCAAATCGTTTATTATAGATAATTTATGAACTTGTCATTTAAAAGAACCATTTTCATCGATCTACAAAATTAAATAAATAAATATCAATGGATTAAAAATTTGTTCCATTACAAAAATTGAATAAAATTACAATACAAAAATATCAATCTAATAAAAGTCATGACTCAACAAATTATAAGTAAGCGATTCAGTTCAATTTTTAAAATAAAATTGTTTTAATTATGGTGTCGAGAATTACATAAAAATTATGCATTAAATATTTTATGATTAAGGACATGTTTGGTTATCAACAGAGTTTTGAAAAATAGAATGAACTAATTCAGTTTTCGTTCTTAGTTGTTTAGAATAGAAACTCAATTCCAGATTCCAATAGAAACAAGAATTCAATTCCACATTTCCTTCTCTCTCCCACTTTGAATTTCGAAATCAAAACTGAAATACTATTTATTTTTATATTTTTATTTATTAATTTATTTCTTTTATTTTTCTCAAAGGTATAACATTTTGCCTTTTTTTTTTATGTGGACTTGAAATCTATTGAAATTTGAGCAGTCAGGCTTGAATTCCTGAAGTGTTTGATATCTTTCCTTAAGGACTCAAAATCCACTCAAAATGTATTAAAATCTTTTCAATTGTGAAAGAGTAATGTTAGGTAGGGTTATAACCTCAGTCTATGTAGTGTTAGGTAGGGCTGTAAATAGATCGGATATGAACCGAATTTGTCTATATCCAATTCGATCCGATCTGATAAGAATAACTATTTGATCCGATAATCTAACGGATATTCGATTATTAAATTCATATCTGTTTTGCTATGTTATCGGATATCCGATCCGATAATTCGATTCGATATTAAAGAAATTAGGCAAAAAAAAAAAATGTTGGAATCACTTTTTATTTATTTATTTTTCCAATTCTTAAACGGGTTTAATAAT